TCTAAGGAATAGAGAATACGAAAATATGTATACCCACTTTTTGTTTCTTCTTCAACTTCAATTCAGTCGCAAATAAAATTCCGCAGCATACACACGGTGTTCTGATTTCTCGCTTTAAATTCTGCCGCTCAATATAAAGGCATATCAAGGCCATATCAAGATTGGAGTTCGCCAATAGCCACTTTAACTGCCACTATTCAAATGGCGTAATATCCTTTGGACAAATGACTCCAAACTGGTTTTATTTGGTGGAATAGGACAAGACAATATGTCCGTCGACCTCCAAATACATAGTACCACCCAAACCATGCGCTGAAGACAGTAAAACACGGTGGCCTTAAAATCATGGTATGGGTATACTTTTTATACAACGTTGTAGGTCCCGTATATATGATCGGTAGGATCATCGACCATTATTTTTATGTCCAAATATTAAAAACTGTCTTGCAGCCGTATCCTGACGAAAACATGCCATTCATTTGGACATTTTAGCAGGACAATGACCCTAAGCATACCAGCAAGGTGGCCAAAGAGTGGGTTCTTAAAGAAAAAGTGGATGCAATGCCATGGGGGACATCAAGGGCTACGTATTAAGAGGGGACATCTGAGTAACTGGCAAAACAAAAAACCGATTTTCTAGAATTTTTTTAGGCCAAAGCCAATGACGTACAAATTATTTTGGAATAAATCGAAAACAAAATGGCGGCTGTGTAGCATTTCTTCGTAGGCCCTTTTTTGTTGAAGGGAGTCCATGGCCGGAAGGCTAACGTCCTTAATTTTTGATCTAGAACAAAAAATCAAATTTTTTTAGTTTTTATACCTCAACCGCTATCGACACACGTAGGATTTTTTCGATATTTTGATTTTATGTAAAATGGTGAGTAATTAAAAAAAATGTTAAATTTTCATGAAAAAAACGTCACAAAATTGTTGATAAAACAAGAAAGGAAGCTAACTTCGGCACGCCGAAGTTTGTATACCCTTGCAGATTGGTTTCGATGTTTATAATCTAGATTTAAATGCTGAAAACACTCACAAAACAGAGTTTCATTACATTTTACCTATACTTATTATGTTTACAGTTTGACAGTTACAGTTTTACATTCCCAGCTTTACATATTTTATACATTTACCGATCGCTTCTTTGGCAGCTATATGTTATAGTTGTCCGATTTTTATAAAATTTATACCAAAATTCTAGAATAATAAAAAAAGCGTATAACTCAGAGTAGATAAACATACGTTGAAAAACAACGAAACTATAATTTTTTTTCCTATTTATTTCTCGACCGTTCCTATGGCAGCTACACTACTGGCCGAAATAATAAGTACATGCGTATGTGGTTTGTTTCAAGTCCCATAAAATTTGTTTGATAAACTTAAGGAAAAAGCCCACTATATTTTTAGTTTCCGTACTTATTCCAGATAATAAAAATAACTGCCTAAAGGATTTTACATTTCAAATTTAGAGACAGGGGTCAATTTTATCCAAAAAGCATGAAAATGGGTTGGCCAAAATAATAAGTACACCCATTCTTCTAAGCCTAAAACTCGAAACGTATTAGATATTTTTCACTTCTTTCTTCTTATAAGTAAACTTAGATTAGTATCCAATGAAACCACACTCGTTTTAGGTAACTTTCGCAATTATTTTTGGCATTCTAGCAGGAAGTCTGTGGCAAGTCAATACTAGAAACTGAGACCATGTTTCTTCAGCAAATCTACACAAATCTTCAAAATTTTAAAATGTATTGGTTACAATACGACGTTTTAAGTTTCCCCATAAATTTTTGATTAGGTATGAGTTCGGAAACTGACTTTTCCAACCCATGACGGTTACTTTTTTGTCCCTAAACCAGGCCATGAGGACTTTTAAGGTTTACTTTGGATCGTTATCTCGTTGAAAAATCAAAACAGGCCCATTTTTATGATGTTTTTCATTAAAATAATGATAAATCGTGTTTGCGCGAATATGCCTTCGAATATTTCGAAATTTGTTTTAGAATATGATAAAGCCCTTCACATTTAATCAATTGGCCTTTTCCTAATGTTACTGTTGGAAAAAAACATTTTACAGAAGTTTTAGTGTTTTGGCCGCGGTGGACCTTTCTGTGGAAATGCCCATAAAAACACGTGAGGCATCTCCGCAGAATCGAAAATTTCGACACTTAGACACTTTTGCCGGACTCTATCTTTTGGTATGTAATTTTTAAGACCCTAAAGAATTTTTTAAGCGAAAAAAAAATGTTAGATTTTTTAAAAAAGTTACTCAGATGTCCCCCCTTAAAGAAGTTTCCGACTTCTAAGCCGCAGCTTTGGCAATTTGTGCAGGAGGAATGAGACCATATTGCCCTCAAGCGTTGCTAAGACTTGGTGGACTCCATGCCACCCAGGTTGAGGCTGTAGTAGCTTCTAAAGGCAATTTAACAAAATATTAGATCATAGGCAATTAGAATGTCAGAAGAAATAGGTTTCTTATACGATATTTTTAAATTTATGAAGACCTTTTTTGTTGTTATTAGCTATATCTTCTAAAAGGTTTATGTTACCTAAATTAAATGATTGTGGTATTGTTAATAATTAAATACACTGAGCATTTATGAAAAAAATGTTTATGAAAATAGTGTTTGGTACAGGATTTTCCAATCTTAAACGTGCAGGTCGTGGGCACTGCTATTTCAATGAACACAGCTGTATATGCCTCGGGAATAGGAATTTAGGCCTTTATCGAGTGTAATATGGATCGTTTGTAGGAAAACACCATATTCGATCATTGTTGGACATCATATCTGGACAAATTATGCCCTGTTACGAGCTAGATCTTCAAACAGGACGAGCGTATGGCGCAGATCGTGAGGGATTCGCTGGTGTATTATAGTCCCCGGCAATTATTTTTTAGTTTAGGACTTAGGACTTAAATATTATATATTATATTGGGAAAAATTTTGAGCAGAAAGGTCGAAAACACGCAATAATACGGGCATGACACTGCCGCATTAATTAGAGACTTCACTAAAGATTTGACAGCGCTATAGCGTTTTACACAAGTGCGAGCAAGACGACTATATGGCGCTCTAATGCATTAGAATAATGCATTAGCTACTTCATTGCCGCGATAATCGATGGATCTTCATAAAATATACCAGATACTCGATAACAAAATACGGGTTTAATGAAGAAAATTGTAATTGAAAAATGTATTAGCCAGGTCATTGACAGTATGGTCTCACAATGAGAAGTTTATTTTTATATCATTTCGCTGGTTTTTGAACTCAAAATATATTAGAAAATTAGCAAAAATAATATGTTTTGCGGTGGCAAGGTTCTTGCGCTGTAAAATTAATTACATTTTTTTTTTTTTGGTAATAATTAAACAAATTTTAAGCATTATAGGTTAAAAACATAAATTTAAAGGATTCTGCATTTATTTATGCAAGAATACTTCGACGAGGAATTCAGAAATTCATAGTAATACGCCGCGAATGGCGGCCGTTTTTTTTGTTTAACTTTTACGGTCGGTGTGACCGTAGTCGTATTACCAAAATAATCCAAGAAAATTACACATATAGTGGACTCTTTCAAGGTTCTAATGAAGTAGCTAATTAATGAAAACTGCATTAGAGTATCATATGGGCATAAGTAGTGCTCCTATCCAGTGCTGCCAATTTGAATTTTTTCCCGTCAAAACTGACTTTTTTTGAAGACTAACTGCGAGAAAAATTTGTAAATTGCGGGAATTGTGAAAAGCGGAAATTCTGGCTTTTTTAGAAATTAAGTTGGCTTTTTCCAGACTTTTTTGTGTTGTTAACTCCTAAATACAAAATATGCAAAAGTTTCAGCATCACAGAAATTGTAGAGTTCCTGGAATGGAGGAATAACGCAGAAATTGAACGCCAATACAATAACGTCAATTTGATAAAGTGGGAAAACATCAGCTACACAAACAAATTTTGGTTTGAGGTGCTCCAGTTTAAAGATTCTGGTGGAAACCGAAGATTTTTTGAGTTTGCAACTGTGGCCATCCAAATATTATGTTTGACCTGGTCAAACGCGGAAATAGAAAGCGTTTTTAGTCAGGTTAACCTATGTAATTAAATCCAAATTAAGGAATTCGATAGGCCTCAGCACGTCTAACAAAATTCTAAGCAAAACGTTAAGTTTTATTTACAAGCAATAGATATACTGTATTCATTTTCTATTTTAATATACAGAAAAGGATTGGGAAGTATTGGTGCGTCGACTATGAAGTGCCTTAGCTTTTTATTGGATTTTTTTGAATATTTTTGTTTAGCTTTTTTCTGAATTCTTCCCGTCAAAAACAGCTTTTTTTGCTGGGCAAAAGTTGGCAGCACTGCTCCTATCCTTAAATAGAGGATACAAGAGTGGGCTAAAATAAGGAAAAGGAAGCAGGATAAGTGGGTGGCTTCGATGCCCATACAACTACAAGCAGTTATTGATGTCCATGGTAACCCAAAATAATATTAACTTTTGTTCCTTATATCAATATTATATCATAAAAGTGCATAGTAAGCAATCGTACGTACCCTTTTGTCCCTGTCGTTTTTTGTTTATAACTTTAAAAGTTAATGTTGAATTCAAATGAAATTTTAGTTGTTGTATAGTAATAACATTTAAAACAAGACTGCATCATTACTTTTCTTTTAGTATCTATAGGAGTGGGTAAAACCCAAAAAAAAAGGGTCGTACGTAGACTTTTGTCCGTGGAATGTGGAGGCCCAGAATTCTGCTATACCTATGTATGTATGTATGTTCTACTTATGTACATATCTACATACCTACATAATTGATTACATGGAAATCACAATGAATATTATTTTTTATTTATTGATTTCTTTTTTTTTAGCAAGGGAATCGTTTGGTATTTACTATACATACAAATAATGAATACATTTTTATTTTATTACTATTCCTATTATTATATTATATTTATTTTTATTTGTTAAAATGTACCTAAGAGCACAAAATTAAACCGTACTTACACGACCATGCCATAAGCTCCTTCTCCAATGTATGTAAGCTTTGTATATCTGGGGCCGACTTCGAAAATCTGTCCTCTGATAACTTCAGCGTTAGGCTGAGGGACTTCAATAGAAACTGCACCTTCAACTCCTGATCCAGTTGCATTTGATGTCGCCATTTCGATTTTAATTTTGTGATATATGACAACTTAGAAATCCTCACAAAATACTTTGATTAATCGCCGGTTAGTGTTAGTGAACTGTTTGGAATAAAATTCAGTTTATTGTGTATATGTAATTATGTACATACACATATACACAATTTTTGGGACAACACCCTTTGAATTAATTTAGTTAATTTTAACGGCATTAAAATATTTTAAAAGAATACATATTTACATATATATTTTACATTTAACATACAAGAAAATTTCGATACATAAAAGAATTAGAAATTCAGAATCCTTAAATAAAATCTTTATTTACCTTAAGTACATCGACTTAAGAACGACAACGGAATTATCGATAAATAAAACGGTCCGACTAAAAAAAATATACTTGTTATACTCATAATACAATTATACATGGTGTATCAAAGGGAGAGTCTGGTAACACTACAAACATAGCAATAAGTGCCAGTGTGAACGGTTGGGATTTTAACTGTGGCACATTTTTAATTTATTTTTTTAATTGCTCCTTGCCAACTTTGTTTACATTTTCATAGCGAATGGTTAAAATTTTACTGTTAAGAAGAAGAAATCAGAGTTGCACCGAAAAACTATCGACAAACTATCGAAAACAAACTGTCGATAAATTTAGATGCACCTTGATGCCGGTCCATTTAAGAAAATACGGAACGGCAAAACCTTATGGACCGTTTGTTTAACGGACGGTGGATGCGCTTTGACGCTCTGTGGAAAGACCCTATAAGTTTTCACCGAAAAACTTGCGCTAATACTGTCTTCCCACACAGCGCATTTGTGAGGAACGGTTGGGAATTTTAAAAAAAGTGAAAGTCGTGTTCCCACAGAGCTGCGTTAAAGCGCATCCGAACAGCTGATCGATCACCTGTGGCTCATGAAAACATAAACAAAGACTGTCGAATTGGCAGTTGCAAATTTGTAATGGAGCATTTACCAATTATTTTGGCTGTTGTACAACCGCAAAAGCACAGATTGCGTCAGAATTTATCCGCACTAAATTTAAATGAATTAAATGACAAGAAATTTTAGAATTTCTAAAGATTTTTCTCTAACAAAGATGGTATAGGCATACAAAATCTTTAAAATAATCGGGTCTTCCCACACACCGTCAAAGCGCATCTACCGTCCGTTGAACAAACGGTCTATAAGGTTTTGCCGTTCCGAATTTTCTCAATTAGACCTGCATCAAAGCGCATCAAAATGTAACGACCGTTTGTTTGGCGATAGTTTGGCGATAGTTTTTCGGTGCAACTCTGAAAATTTTACCATCACTACGAAAGTGTATACACACTTGGCGAGAAACAAATGAGATATGGAATTTAAAATGTGGCGCCAAAGCTACAAGCATGCACAAAATAGTTCTTGGCGTGTTTTCTGTATATTCTTGCCCCTATATGTCCCCAATTGTTACTATTTAATATAAACCGCCTACCTCTACCTTATTTTAAAGATTTTGGATGCCTATACCACCTATAGACACTCTTCGGGGAATTTGCTCTTTGTTAGAGAAAAATCATTAGAAAAACTAAAATTCCTTGTCATTTAATTCATTTAAATTTATTGCGGATAAATTCTGACGCAATCTGTGCCTTTTGCTTTTTGCCAAGAACTATTTTGGGCATGCTTGTAGCTTTGGCGCCACGTTTTAAATTCCATATATCATTTGTTCCACGCCAATTTGTTTACATTTTCGTGGTGAATGGTTAAATTAAGAAGAAGAATCAGAGTTCCACCGAAGAACTATCGCCTAACTATCGCCAAACAAACCGTGGTTAGAATTTAATGCTGAACTAACGCCGGGCCATTTGGGAAAATTCGGAACGGCAAAACCTTATGGAGCATTTGTTCAACGGATGCTAAATGCGCTTTAATATTGTGTGGGAAGACCCTATTAATGTTGTGTGGGAAGACCCTATAACCAACCCAAAATGGTCTCAAAATACTAAGAATTAGATCAAGGAATAATACTGAAAATATTGTTTGTTATTTAATTATTAATATTTTCGTTTTCTGGGAATTAAATCTCCTAACAATTAAACTCATAAATCCGTTCAAGTATTTAGAGTTAAATAAATGTACATACATATGTTGTACATACATGCATATGTATATTTATATATGTACATACATATGTATAAAACCCAGGTACATCTATACATACATACATTTGTTCGTACATGTTAATATGGCCTACATCCATACATAAGTATACATACATATATACTTATCCATATAAAGTTCAATACATTCACATACATACATACGTACATACGCATAGACAACGCCAGCGAAGTAATAGAGTTAACATTGCTCAGTTGATTTCGAATTTTTGTTGCGAACAGTGGTTTTATTATATAGTACTGGCATACATACATGTACAAAGTGTTTTGTTTTGGTTGTCTTGTATTGGTAATATTAATTGAGATAAAATAGTTAATAATCATACAAATATGTTTTTTTTTCATATGCATACCCATGATACAATCATGATTGTATCATGTGCATACCTATCTAAATGTATGTACATAAGTACATATATAAAGTTTTCTTCATACATGTATGTACATATGTATATACCTGCATTCATACACATGTACATACGAATACATAAAGATATACATACATACATATGTATATACAATTGTGTAAACATACATATATGTATATTATAAGTATTTACGTACATATGTACATACATACACATATACAACTTAAGCGCTTTAATAAAAGTTTTCAGTAATATGGAAAATGTTATTATGAACATATGTATGTAAAGATGTACATTATATACATATGTATGAGTATTTATTTTTTATAATATAAAAACATTACATAAACATACATCCATATATTTACATACATATGTACATATACATATATGTATATAAATCTGCACATTCTATATTTATATACATATCTATATACATAGGTATGTTACTACATATGTACATATGTACATATATAGGTGTGCTGCAAAATCAGCTGTTGCATACGAGAGCACGTCCGCTAAGTTTGTAATTTTTACCAAGTGATCTTTGAAATTAAACTATTCATGTAAGACACCATTTGTAAAGGATAAAACTAATGGACGCTGATTTCACAGGTTTTAACTACATGTTAAATGTATTAATTATTTAAATTGGGCGTGTTTATACTGACATTTTGTCATTATATAAATACACTTTAAGCTGAATTTTGAGAAACAATTTTCAACTTTGGGAAGAGTTTTGAAATAGAAGTTTGCAATAGTTTTCAGTGCGTCCAAGTGTACATATGTTAAAGCGTTGCAAATTCTGAGCAAAAAAAACTATTAGTCTTAAGGGGGGGTAAGGTATTTAATTTTTTTTTCGTAATTTTTTTTTATTTTTTATTTTTAAGACCTAATATCTTAAGAATAGTGTGTCCAAGTTTTACATCGATCATGGGAAAATTGACGAAGTTATGCAGAGTTGAACGAAGGTCGGTTGGTGTTAAATGCATGAGAATCACAAAGTTTAAAGCGCACTCCTGAAAAATTCAATTTTTCAAATCGGTGTACACGATTACAGAAAAACTTCTGGACCGATCGATTTGAAATTTGGCACACACATTCTTTAACTAATTCCTCAGGTATTCACGTCGGCCTTTTTTTAATTTTTAATTTTTATATATTTTTAAATTAAGAAATAACGTTTTTTTTTTAGTCAAAAATCGGGTTTTTGACTTTCAAATTTCCTAAAAAATCACAAAAAAACTAAAAAAAACAAAAACGCTTCCTGAATACCTCGGGACACTTATCCTTTAACGAATGAGGTATCATTTTATTAGATCGGATGATCCTGTGGACTGTTAGGATGTACACCGCAAAACAACTTTTTTTGGAGGCGACTCGGGAGATTCCCTATAACTTCTCTACCTCTTAATATTTTTCAATACAAAATTTATAAAAAATTATTCAAATGATGTGTTATTATATGGTATTTAATTCATTAAGCTAACTTTAGCCGTTCCGCCACAATCATTTTTTGAAAAGTGGCCTATTTTGCACCGAATTAACCTTACCCCCCCCCTTAATGTGCACTTTTGCGCACTATTGGTGCAATTTTAATTTTTTTTTTAGATAACTGTCTCCAACGCCAATTTGGTTATTCTTTGTATGGAAAAACACTGAGTTCCGGTATTTTAGTTATTATAGTTCTTAGGGAAAGCGTTATCCGATTTAGTTTAAAATTGATACACTACTGGACAAAATAATAGGTGCATGCCTCATACGTTTGTTTCAAGTCCTATAAAATTTTTTTAATAATCTTAATGAAAAAACCCACTTTATTTTTAGTTACCGTACTTATTCCACATAATAAGAAGAACTGTCAAAAGGATTTTACATTTCAAATTTAGATACAGGGATCAATTTGATCCAAAAAGCATGAAAATGGGTTGGCCATAATAATAGGTACACACATTCTTCTAAGCCTAGAACTCGGAACGTATTAGATATTTTGCACTTTTTTCTTCTTATAAGTAAACTTAGATAAGTATCTAATAAAACCACACTAGTAATTATCTCGGGAGTCTGTCCATCGACCCTCAGCTCGATCATGGAAACAACACTCAGGGAGATATGTGAGTGGGCGGAGAAGGTAGGACTCAATATCAATGCGGATAAGACGGACCTTATTCTCTTCACCAAGAGATACAAGGTGCCGCAATCGATCCCCCCGAAAATTAACAATACCAGGCTGACCCCGAAAACACAAGTCAAATACCTCGGCATTGTACTTGACAGCAAGCTGACGTGGAGAGCAAATGTATTAGAGAGGATAAAAAAGGCCACCATAGCGCTATATGCATCCAAGAAGATGCTTAGCAGCACATGGGGCCTCTCACCCGCTCTAATGCATTGGGTCTACATATCGGTGGTGCGTCCTACTCTGCTGTATGGAGTCTTAGTGTGGTGGCAAGCCACGGAGAAGAAAACTTATAATAAGCTTATGGAGAGAACCCAGCGGCAGGCACTGCTCTGGATATCAGGGGCGCTGAGGTCAACCCCCACCAAAGCACTCGAAACCATAATCGGTATATATCCCCTAGATATCCAAGCGCAACTGACAGCAGGAAAGGCGGCACAACGTCTGGTTGCATCAGGAAACTGGTCGCTACAAGGTTTCGGGCACAGTTCAATTGGTCGACACATGAGCAGTACATCTGACTACATGATACCCAGAACGTGCCCGGATGTAAACACAACAGTATTCATGGGACCAAATGACTGGAAGTCAGGCCAGGACTCTGCTCATCACCTCAATATACTGGGCATATACTGTTCTGATCCTGAAATGAGGCTGTCGTATAAGCTACCAAGCTAC